AGTAGTTTAATACCAAGTTGTGTAAATTTGGTGTAAAGTTTGAGCAGTTGCTGCTTTACCTCCCTGACAATGTCTTCATTCCGGGCTTCAGTGTTCTTCCCACACCCTCTCCTCTTGTGCACTACAGCTCTGATCAATGGTATCTAAAGCCCTATAAGGAATACACCCTTACATTACTTCATGTGCCAGTGATACAGTTACCAGCTGAAAAAATAAAACAAAAGCCTTCATGTGTTGCTCACAGCTAGAAAGACACCTAAATTCACCTTTATTTTCAAATTTAAACAGAATATATGGAAGTAACTTGGAATTGCAGTTTTTATACCTTTCTTATTTACTTAAATTATGCATGATCATGTTCACTAAAAGCCTTTTTAACTGACATGGTTTTAATTTGGATGCCTGACTACAATGATTTTTCCAAAACATAAATGACTATTCATCAGAAGAGCACCAAACAAGTTTGAGTGTGCCGCTTTTTCACTTCTCTTTGCCTATTCTTTTATTAGCGCTTTAACATTCTTCCTTTACTTCTTGATTTCAACTTTACCCTTGTCTTCCTTGAGCAAACAGTTCCTGCAACTTTTGACAGATCTCACTACAGTAATGCAATAGCTTATACAAAACAAAAAGAAAACATATACGTGCTGCCTATTAAACAGAGTTTAGGTCTAGACTAGACAAGGTTTGCTGATACATCTATACTAGCAAACTCTCCCTTCTGCACTTGCAGCTGAAGTAAACTTTGGTCAATATTAACAATCCTGCCAACAAGAAAACTTTCATGGTAGTCTTACTGCATCAATATCAACTTTGCAAATAATGTAAGGGACTATATCCTTAACACTACTATACGGGTAAAACTCTTCAGGTTTTGTTTGGCCATCTTTGAAAGAGTTCACTTTTTTACTGTTCAAGTAATCCTCGTGTACAAAGTTTTTAGACTACTCCTTGACCGAACATGTCCTTTCTAACCTGAGGTCTCAGGTTTTCCTGTGCTACAAACAGGATGCAGACCCTACAGTGTTTTTTAACTGAGCCCGCAGTGATAAGCTTCATAGCTTCTTAAAACACTGATTATGCTCAGCCCTTACATCTTGGAAAGAGGAAGACTGCAGACTAGAAAAAAAAGCAACACTGTGTGCAGAGAGAATCAAGTCAAGATACGAGCGCACTGAAGAAGAGGAAGAAAGGTTTACACAAGACAAAAGGCCTTGAGTATTCCCACTCTCTCTCTGGCTTAATTATACATAGATGCAACCTGCATTTAAAAAAAACAACAAAAACCCCAACAACAACAACTACAAAACCCAAATACACGTAAGCCTTGAAGGACAATGCGCATTAAGATGGATTTCTTGAGTTAGCCAGGAAGATGCAGAAAAGGAAAATGAGGGAGGACAAGCCATGAAAACACGATGCTAGATAGAGTAACACACCTTGTTTTTCTTAGAAAGAAAAAAAAAGCAGCAGTGGGGAGTCATATCAAATGCAATTTAGCAAGAACAAACATAGAAGACTCTGGAAACTCTGAAATATCTTGGGCAAGTTTAGAGACCCTAATGATCCTGCGAGGACAATTCTTACACGTAACTGCTTTCCTAAAAGCTCTTACCTGCCATCAAAACTTTAACTAAAACCAACTTAACAAGCTAAAACACCGTGATCCTACTGATCTCCAGCAAGAAAATTTTGGTATGGTCTTACAGTCCAATTCAGACACAGCATGATCTCTGCCAGAACCCGGACACAAATCCCCCTCCATTGTAACAGCACTTAGTGCACCACAACGTATACTTTCACACTAACCTCTTGACACAAACAGGAATTTTCACCTGTAATAATGTTTCCATACAAAGTTTTCCCATGCTCTTGGAAGGTGGTGATTCTTATCAGTAACTTTAAGAAGTACTAACATTAACGAGCATAAAACAACTCTGGCTGGAATCTCTTCCCAACAGCTTGCTAATTTTGCAGCATCTTCCATCTTGTTACTTTTGCAAGAGCTCAACTGGTCAAGGCAATGTAGTTTGCCACTTCAATTGATAAATACAGATCATGGTCACAGCGATTCGTCTTGCAGACAGTCTGACATTTTTAGATGTTCAAATATACCACAACAGCACAGCTTAAATACTGAAGAGCTTCCTCCTATATTCACCTTCATGCTAACGTTTCATTCAGAAGTGACAAGGATTGCCAACTATCATATAGTAAAAACAGTCTACAAATCAAGGACTGATGCAGTTACTTGCATTAATTTCCTGCATGTGACAAAATCACTACCCTGCAAAAGCTGCCCCCTATATCTTTTGGGTTTTGGCGTTTTTTTTCTTTTGTTTTTTTGGTTTTGTTTGTTTGTTTGTTTGTTTGGGTTTTTTTTGTTTTTTGGTTTTTTTAAATCAGGTCTACATTAAGTGCACAGATATATTTGCTAGCGAAGTAGATTCCTACTATGGTATAGTGATGCAAACTCTTAGCAATGAACAGTACAGCTCCTACATATTTCATTCCAGATGCCTAAATACTGACAAGGCGCACTTACTCCTACAGCCAGCAAGAAAAAGAATGAGAACTTTCTCATTAAAGTCTAGTAAGGTATTAATACCTGATTTTTCTGGTTCAGCTATGAAATCTGAACTGTAACAGCCCTAACCCATAGCAAAGAATTTATACCTCACAAAACGTTAGTTCCACATAAATTCAGTATCATTTTCAGCAAATTTTTAATCAGTTTTGACTTCTCATGACTGCAACAAGCGTGCTTGGTGCAGAAGTGAAACAGTTTAACTTAATTTTGTAAAAGTTAAAATTGATGCACATGCCTAACAGCCATACTTAAATCCTGCTTCTTGTTGATTTAGCTTGCACCATTAAATTTTAAAGCTAAGCCTGCATTAGAACCTAACAAAATCCATTTAATTAATTTACTTAAGCATATACATTTTGATTTTACACTACTCCTATCAGTGATGGCACTCTAGCAAAGGCACACTTTCAGATAACAAAACTTTTCCGAAGTTATCTCTGAAAAAAGCACAGTAAGAGAACAGTCTGTTTTCTTAAGAAGATGCAGAAATTTTTAAAAAGCATTTTCAATTGTACAGTGAAAAGTTTCTCCTTTGGCTACCCAGAAGCAAGCAGAACGTTTGCTCATGACATTACCACCATGAAAAGGAAGATGGAAAGACCAGCAGCTAACAAAACAAGAACTATTTCCTATAACCCTCTTTTTTACCCTCAATTCTGTCCTCCAAACTTTAGATAAAACTTCCAGATGACAGTCTCCACTGCTCCGAGACTAGAGGAGCTTGCAAATTTACATATGAAATTAAGTTTGAATTACAGAGCAGAACAGGGTGAACTAAGGTCACAGCAGCAGCATTACTTCTGAACTCTAATCCACATTAAGATATTGTCCAATTTTAAACACAGAGAGCAACAAAAAGCCAAGTTACATCAGACGCAAATTAAAAACACAAACAAGAAGTTTCTGAGTTCAGCTATGGCTGAAATTGCATTCCTAATAACCTAAACTCTTGTAGCTCCCTGCTTTAAATTTAAAAAATTAACTTTTGTCTACCTTGTATATTAACGAATCGGATACATCTGGGTCCCAGTAGCAAAACCACCAGTATCTCCATGAAAATGGGAGATGAGAAGCATGTCCGTGTCTTCAAAAGATCAGTACATTACCAGAGCAGAGTGAGAAGCTGCCCACACTGCAAAAACTTTCAATCATCATGGATCCTCACCATCCTATGCGTGAATAAAAAGTTTCCATTTCTCATTCACAGTAACACCAAGTTTGAGACATACAGCAACATTAACTAGAGCAAATCCAATGAAACACAAAGACAAGGAGCATTTTATATCACCTTTAGGTACTTCTAATCTAAAGAAAAACAGAAGTCAATGGTATTGAACTGATATTCAAATCTAGTACATAACTACAAAATCCTCAGAGAAAATGTATTTGACCCTTTATTCTTAGTACTGTTGTCAAGCAATGCTTCATATCTGCTAGACCAAGCTACAGCAGTGAAACCTCCTGAATCCAAAACTGGAATAATCAAAAGGGGAAGGAAAGGAGATTACATCAATTTTTCCTGAGTTTTTAGAAGAACACCACATCAAAGTTACACTGTTTATTCAAGAATCAATTCAAGAATCACAGAACCATGGAACGGTTTGGGCTGGAAGGGACCTCTAAAGATTACCTAGTCCAACCCCCCACCACGGGCAGGAACATCTTTCACTAGATCAAGTTGCTCAGAACCCCATCCAACCTGACCTTGAACACTTGCAATGACGGGGCACCAACAACTTCTCTGGACAACCTGGTCCAGTGTCTTACCACCCTCATTGTAAAGAATTTCTTCCTTATAACCAATCTAAATCTACTCTCTTTCAGTTTCAAACAATTGCCCCTTGCCACCTTGTCCTGTCACTACAGGCATCTTTCTTATAAGCCCCCTTTAAGTATTGAAAGGCAGCAATACGGTCTCCCTGAAGCCTTCTCTTCTGAAGACTGAACAACCCCAACTCCCTCGGCCTTTCTTCACAGCAGAGGTGTTCCATCCCCCTGATCATTTGCATGCCCTCCTCTGGACCCGCTCTAACAGGTCTGTCTTGTGCTGGGGACCCAAGGGCTGGATGCGGTACTCCAGGTGGGGTCTCACAAGAGCGGAATAGAGGGCAAGAATCACATCCCTCGACCTGCTGGTCATGCTTCTTTTTACAAGTCCAGGATACAAGTGGCAAAGAAGGTAGGTCAATCTTGAGGATAAAGTACAAGAGATTCCAACTCTGGCAAAAATTTGTTTATGATTCTATACCAGTTTCCTAAAATGCAAAATGGAATTAATATTTTCCTATTTTCACAGTAGCCTTCATTCATTTTTTCAAGGTACACAGATAAAGAGGGATTTGAAAAACATTACATTAAGTGGAATGTAATAAATGTTTGGTTTATTTAGAAAAATGTATTTGATTTTGACCTGTATCATTTATAAGAAGAGGTGAGGTAGCAACACAATGCAATTCACTGCTGTGGCATCAGAGGTTCTGTGGGTAAAAAGAAAATTGTCAGAAAATTACCCACTGGGACATGCATTATTTCCTAAAACAGTGCTTTTCCCAGCAGCTGTACTGCAACCATTCCCTGATTAAACCTCATATAACTACTCATGCTGGATAATGCAACGAGTGTTTAAATCTGACAATGTTCCACCTCTGTAGCTATGTTAAAGGCTACGAGTTACAGCACCACAGCAGGGCACATCAGCTCAAAACAATTTTATTACCAAGTCATTTAGACGTGTCGGTAACAGGTCTGAACTGCATTGTTGTAGAACCATCAATAGTCAATCTATAGTCGTTCTTCCACTGATAAACCTACAACTCTTATAACAAAATAGCAAGTTACTTATGTAGACAAGCTCAGCAGCTTTCTATAATTTTCCAACCATTACATTTTCTTGCGTTTTCCTTACTGAAAATTCTCCTTTAACAAGTAAGAGAAACCTCAATGGTCCCCGTAACAAATTCAAAAAATAGTAGTTTAAGTTTGCACCCTATATAGGTTACAACTTTTACCTAGGCCTCTAAATGTGGGTTCCAACAACCAATTCTTTACATGAAGATTATCTTGAAAAATACAGTAATTAAAAAGTTTTTATGAGTTTACTCTTGCCAAAAAACAATGCTGGCACCGATGTAGTCAGTTTAAAGGAAGTTCACGCATTCCTAAAGCACATGCAGAACTTCCAAGACCAAGCTTTCCACACTCTTCTTTCCCCCAAGCTCTGTGCAGCAGGAAGACTGTACCAACCTGCAGGCTGCTGGGACTGCCTGTGCACATCCTCCTGGCATGCCCATCCAGTGGGACACCTACCCTGTTTTCCTCCCGATGCACACAGACAGACCTTGTTGGACAGCACGGGAAGTACAACAGCATAGCCAGTACAACAGCATGGCCATGCTGTCAAACAGCAGCACTGATCCAGCCACCTTACACTTTAATCCGATTCTGCACTCAGCAAGTTAGAAAATCCTGGTTGAAAAGTGTAGCACACTTGATATCGGTATCCACCTTAACACAGACAACCTCTTACTAGGACAAACCCCTCACTTCACATTCACAATACATATTTTTGATGTTGAGAGTGGTATAAGTGCAAGTGGGACATCTTTAAATCTGTTTCATCCACTAGGGATTAAAAAAACAAACAAACAAACAAACAACAAACTTCAACGCCAAGAAAGAAGACTCCAGGTATACCCAATTCATGCAACCACTGACACCCATGATGTGACTCATCATTAAGCTGGGCCCCACTGAAATAATTGTGACTAAACAAAACTAGGCACTACTTGAGAAACACAACAGATGAAAAGCAGTACTCGGAGATCTTAACATATAAATTGTAAGAAAACACTTTTTAAGCCGAATATCTGAGATAACTTTCTCAAAGGACTAGCTGTATTGTTATGAAAACAATACTGAGAATGTAAGACTTTACACCACCACTAAGAATAAGCTGAATTCAAAAAAGCCACCCCCAAAACGGTATCCAAATAAGGGTGTGCATTAATTTAGCTTAAAATAATTTAAATTATTTAAATTAAAGCAATGCAGTTTTCTTATGCCAACAGTCCAAGTAACAGGCCCAAGTTATAAGGCAAGTTCAAACCAGTGCAAAAAGGACTAAGGTGGAAAAAAAATCCTTTAGTTAAACCAGTACAACTATTTTGTCAGCTGAGGAGTGGGGTGCATATGTGTAATTCAGGTGCCTAAACTAAGAAACTGTTCTCTACATGATCCCTGGATAGGCAATGGAAGAAGTTTCCTCCAGAGGAGTAATTCAGATCAGAAGCCTAGTTCAGTTGCTCTGAGCTGTTGTTGCATTACCAGGATCTGCATGTACTCAGCTGAGAAAATAAGAAGCTGTTAACGCTAGGCACCGAACCTGGATTCTAGAGATAGGTGTATAAATTACTCCCGAGATCGAATGTGTTCCCCACACCTCCATGGGACAACTATGTCCAGTGTTTCAATCACACCTCAAATACATGGTAATAATATGATTGTGAAACATAACCAATCTTAAGAACCAAAACAACTAAGAAAGATGTAAAATAAGAAGTTGGGTGACAAATACTGAGAAACAAGAGAAGTCGCAAGGCAAGGGAAAAAGACTTCATTCTAGTGGAGTCACCAGCAGAGACAAAAAGTGTCAATGCCACACAGACATCAATACACAACATTGCAGCAGTTCACTGTGAGCATCTTTGGAGTAAAAACTATGTACCATGGTACCTACGAAGTATATTATTACTTCTCCAAAGAGAATACTCCAACCACACTCCATATCAACTAGGTAGCAATTCACAATATGGTATTACAAACAATATTTAGCCTAATTAAAGTTACATGGCTACTAGGTATTTCTGGTCCCCATGGACCATTCCTCCTAGTCCTGCCAAAAGGATTTCCATGACAGACTTTCTTTTCCCAGACTAGCATTGGGATATGTGAGTGTATTAGGGGGCAGGTATATGATTATATACGACCACATATACTGGGGGAAAGGTTGTTGAGGAAGTCGGTAACAAAACAAATGAAAACAAAGGTAAAACAAGTAAATAATCTGTGTCCTCTTAGTGCTGACTGACAAGTATACAGATAACCTAGGGTTAAATTCCCTTATCCTCAAACACACAGATGGAGGATTTAAATACAAAGTGGGGGAGACAGCATGTGAGTCTACAAAGGAAAAGAGTATGTGGAAAAGAAAGAGTATTAGGTGAGATCACAAGGAAGGTTTTAATGACAGGAAAATAAGATCAGAAGGGCAAAAAAACATGGTGAAGGAAATAGTTAATGGAAGAAAACTGAAAGGGGAAAGGTAATAGCTGGATAACGATGGCGATGGAATGTAAGCTGAAGAGGAAATAAGAAGGATGGGAAAAGGATCCCAGTAAGGACACAGTTAGCTTTCAGTGGCAAAGTTACTGGGAAACAAATGAGTTGATTATTTGCAACGACAAAAAAACTGCAGGACTAGTCATCTGGATGGAGGCAATAAATGCACAAACAAATAAACAAACAGATAAAAGGTTACAGGGGGCACCTTCTCTGGTAAGTCCACAACAGTAGGGGGCAACAAGGGGAAGCCTGGTGCACGGTCCTTGACAGAGAGAGAAACCCGGAGAAGGTGACACGGAGGAGCTGTGGGAAACATCCCCCAGCAGCCACGATGGTACTGGGGACGCGGGGGAATTTCTCTAGGTACAATCAAACAGCTCCTAGACAGACCTGAGTGTCACTAGGGCTCTGGGGATGGCTGCGATACAAGAGGGTGAATGGAGGCGGCACGGAGGACAGGGAGGAGAGATGGCAGGTGAAAACCCGAAAACAGTGCCCGGTGAGGTTATGGACAAAAGCTCATGGGGAGAAGAGAGCAGAGGCCTGGGATGGCTGGGGTGGGCAGTC